TATTGGGGCAGGATTTATGGTATGCTGTTCCAGTTTGACTGCTAGGAGTGTAAATCTATTTGCATGTTTTTTCCTATTCGGCTGTATATAACATTCAGATGCTTGAGAGCATTCAAATGCTACTACGGTTCGGTGGTTTTGGTGTCGGCTGCAGTGCTTGGAGTCCTCAGGAAGCGCTAGGAGCATCCTTCAACGGAGGTACCCAGTCAGGGTGCCAGGTGATCCGTTACAACTTACATGCAAGAAAGGGCAGAAGCCTTGAGCAGCTGCCTGCAGGAACACTGAAACAAAAGGAATTATGGAAAACAAACTGGTGTGGCAACATAAAACAAACATTTAAAGGAAACCTGGAGACTGGGAATCCCATGGATGGATTACAGGAATGAACCCTGAAATCCCAGCAAACAGACATAGACTAAAAAAACTGAAAAACCAAGAAAAACTAAACAAGAATTGTAAAAAGAGTACTGGATACCAGAAGCCAAGGCCAGACATCTCCGCAGAACAGAGCAGGATGTGACAGTATGGTAGCCCAGCAATGAGAATTACCCCCATGATGGCATACCATTTGCAAAAGAAGACAACCCAAGATATTGCAAATGGGGTATGTTCAGCCTTTTTTAGTAGCCACTAAGTCACAAACTGGCCAAAGTTAGCATTTTTTGCATTTTCAACACACAAACAAATATAAATGCTAACTTTGGCCAGTGTTTGTGACTAAGTGGCTACTAAAAAAGACTGGCTATACCCCATATTAAATACCCTGGGTTGTCTACTTTAAAAAAATATGTACATGTGGGGTGTGATTCGGGGATTTATGACAGATAACAGCGTTACAATGTCACTATTGATAAATGTAAAAAATATATATATTGAAAGAGCAATTTCCTACTTGTACTTATAGCCCTATAACTTGCAAAATATAACTGGACAAAATTTTGAATTTATTTAGCAGTTTTTTCATTAGCTTTTGTAGATAATTATAAGATTTTTCAAGTAAAAGTCCAAAAACATGTTTTGTTTTTTTTAAAAATTCAGCATATTTTATTTTATTTTTTTTAAAGTAAAATATATGACATGATACAAATAATGGTATGTAAAGAAAGCCCTTGTCCTGAAAAAAAACAATATATAATTTGTGTGGGAACAGTAAATGAGAGAGCAGAAAATTACAGCTAAACACAAACACCACAAAAGTGTTAAAACCGCTCTGGTCCCTAACGTACAACATCACAAAAACAGGCCAGTCCTTAAGGGGTTAACCCCTTAAGGACGCTGGACGGAAATTTTCCTTCATTGCAGCACTCCCCTTAAGGTCGCTGGACGAAAAATTTCCATCCAAAATGAAAATTAACCCCTGATTACCACAAGTGGGGGTTAATCTTCCTGTAGTGTTTCTCCATATCGGAGGCACACTACCTGGGCAGTTTCACTGATTCAGCCCATGTGATCGCTCTGGCCGGGAGTCAGAGTGTGATCGCTCTGGCTCCCGGCCAGAGCGATCACATGGGCTGAATCAGTGAAACTGCCCAGCTCCGTGTGAGCTGTGAACTGCAGAGAGACAGATAGGTGCTGATCTGTCTCTGGCTGTAAAAAAAACAAAAAACAGTTAGTTACAAAATCCCACCCCCCCCCCTCACCTCTTTCAAATAAAATTTAACCCCTTCCCTGCCCTTTGATCACTGCCTGTAGTGATCAAAATACAGATCACAGTATTTCACTGTGATCTGATTTTTCTTTTTTTAAACCCCTGAGGGTTAACTTTTATTTTTTTTTAATCCTCAGGGGTTAAATGTATTTAATTAATTCATTTAAATATTTTAAAATATTTATTTATTTAGCTAGGGTAGGTAGAAGTTAGTGGGGAAATTGGGGGATTTACAGTTAGGGGTTAAAAGTTAAAAAAACAATTCAAAGGGAAAAAAAACTTTTGAAAAGGTTAAACAAAGTTTTAAAATAGTAAGATAAGTTGTTAAAAGCTAAATAAAACTCTTTAAAAGTTAAAAAAAAGTTTTAAAAAGTAAAAAAAAAATAAAAAGGGGGAAAATGCGTATTACCGCTACACTTGGTGCAGGCTAGCAAAAAATGATACCACGCTAAGGTTTCAAATATGCCTTTTGAAACACCCTGGGCTGTCTTATAGTATGCCTTTGTGAAGTAATTGGAAAACACAACCTATTAAAAAAATTCCAAAGTGGGGCATGGACCCAGCGTAAAAATTCTAACTTAAATGGCTGTGTCTCAAATGTGCCCCTTCAACGTTGTCATATAGCTGGTAAAGGTACATACGGGGGTATTGCTGTACTCAGATGACATAGCGGAGCAACATATGATGTATTATACTGCTGTAGCACATATAAGGTTTGCAAAATATATATTACAAACTCATTGAGTATGTCAAAAAGGCATAAAAAATGCTTATTACCACTACACTTGGTATAATCAAGCGGAAAAATTATTTCACACTAAGGTTCAAAACACGTGTTTTGAAATACCCTAGGGTGTCTTCTTTAAGAAATGGTATGCCTTTATGGGGTAGCTGGAATAATTAACCTACAAAAACACCTCCAAACTGGGGTATGGACACAGCGTAAAAATTTAAAGTTTGAAAAAACTTAAATGGCTGTGTCTCAAATGTGCCCCTTCAATGTCCGCATATACCTGGCAAAGGTAATTTTGGGGGTATTGCTGTGGTCAGACAACATAGCTGAGCAAGATAGGAAGTATTATATAGCCGTAGCACACATAAGGTTTGCAAAATATACAGTACAAACTCACTATGTGTGCCAAAAAAACAGAAAAATTATTATTATTACCACTACACTTGGTACAAGCTAGCAGAAAAATGATCCCACGCTAAGGTACAAAATATGCCTTTTGAAATACCATGGAATGTCTTCTTTAAGAAATAGTATGCTTTTATGGGATAGTTGGAATATATAGCCTGCTAGAAAACTCTAAAGTGGGGTAAAAACACAGCGTAAAAATTTAAAGTTTGAAAAAACCTGCAATGGCGGTGTCTGAAATGTGCCCCTTCAACGTCCACATATACCTGGCAAAGGTACATACGGGGGTATTGCTGTACTCAGACAACACAGCTAAGCAACATATAAAGTATTATAAAGCCGTAGCACACATAAGGTTTGCAAAATATACAGTACAAACTCACTGTGTGTCAAAAAGGCAGAAAAAAAAATGCTTATTACCACTACATTTGATACAAGCTAACGGAAAAATGATCCCACCCTAAGGTTCAAAATTTGCCTTTTGAAATACCCTCGGGCGTCTTCGTTAAGAAAGAGTATGCCTTTTTGGGGTAGTTGGAAAAAGCATCCTGCTAACATATTTAAAAATAGAATACGAACCCATTAAAACTCTCCATGTAAATTCACACTTAAAATCCTGAACTTGTCACGTCTCTTTCACAGCACTGTAACTTCACAAAATAGTGTCTAGGTCATACACTAGGTTTATTGTTTTACTCAGAAGATGTAACTGAGCATACTTAGGGGGAATTTATGACAGTGGCACTTATCAAATGTAAGAAATACCCAGCGAAAATGCAACATGTATGTAAAAAAAAATAATGTTTTTTTCTCTCCACAAAATTTGAAATAAATTGGTGAAAAAATGGTGACAAGTTAAGGCATAATATATGCCTAATAACATACCCTGGAGTGTCTGCTTTCTCAAATGGAAGGCCTTTGTGGGGTTATTTGAACAGTCGAATGGCTATAATGCCACAAAATCAGACATATGACCATCTATGAAAATTCCAACTATTGAAACTGAAATAGCATGGTCTCCTCTATGGCATTGTAGCTTCACAGAATAGGGGCAAAGGTATACAATGGGGGTATCGTTTTACTCAGCAGATGTAGCTGAACACAATATGGGATTCTGTACAGGGATAGCACACACTAGGTTTACGAAATACACATTACAAAAGCCTTGTAATATGTGTATATACCAAAATAGAGAAAAAATACAATTTTACTCCAATATTTAGCAGAGATTGGCGGTGAAATGGCTACGCAAAAAAGTGTCAAACTAACCCTAGGTAAATAGCCAGTGATGTCTACTTTATATAAATATATACTTTTGTGTGGCAATTTTGTTTCCTGTAATGGGTATTAAACTTCCAAGACAAACATACCAACTTCTAAAATTTTCACATTGACATTTTATTTTAGACCTTGTAGTTTGTGACCTGTAACTTTCAAAATCAACTGAAATCCTACACATATTTTGCACTTTGTAAATCAAGACAAATTAATTTATTTTGAATTACTTTTCCTAAGCTGGACATATTATGCACACATTATTATTGCCAAAACTTGGGGGGGGGGCAACCTTTTTTTTTGTTTTTTTCCACATTATTTTGCATTTTTTTGGTAATAAATGAGAATTTATATATGTATATGTCACGTCAAATTAAAGCCCTTTTTGTTGTCTAAAAAACAGTATAAAATATGTGTTGGTACAATAAATGAGAGAGATGCAAATTGCATTTGAACACAAACAGCAAAAAATGCCAAATTGCTTGTGTCCTTAAGGGTATGTCCAGCTTCTGAAGCTGTGTCCTTAAGGGGTTTAACATTAAATCATAAATGATTTAAAGCGATCAAGTGAAGATTATAAAAGTTACACCATCATGACTGGAGGGGTGGACCTTACACCCCTGTCTTCCTTTCACCAGATGTCCTGGAGAGATTTGTCTCCCCATTCCCCTGGGTTCCTAGCCTACATCCATGGTTACAAAAAGTAGAGAAAAGAACTCTCGAAGCAGACTAAATGGCAAACTATAAAATACGTTTCATGGCTTTAGCTATCTCCAGGGGCCACCACGTGTTAAAGTCTAGCTCATAAAAACACGTCGAGCACTTGTGCAGCTGACCAAGTGAAAGCGCTGCCTATCACCAGACTCAGCCACGTTTGCAACAAAGCTGAAAAGTTACATAAAGCATTATACTCGGAGAAACTACAACTCCCGGCAATACCTTAGTAGGCGCGCACGCGCACTGATGCTTATATCCATTCGGCAGGGTGGCAGATGGTTCTGCGCATGACTACACGTGTATCGCCTGCTGCTGAACCTTGCTGTGCAGGAGGCCTGGGTCCGGGGATTGCGGCAGCATTCGGACATGTTACCTTTCTCTTTACGGCGCTTGGCCCAGGTAAGACGTGCACACCCATCCTTCCTATTGACAGGGGCTGCATGCTGGCTCAGGAACTGACTGCCATGACCGGTGCGGGGGGCTACAGCTGTCCTGTGTATGGAAGCATGTCAGATAGCATCTGAAAGCCCCTCTCTCTATTACCAGTGTGCCCTGATAGTTCGATAAATGCATTATTTATTTTCACACATGTGACACACACACACACACACACATACATATTTTTATTTATTATTATTTTATTATATATTTCATTATTTGCCTAAGTGTGCTTTCAGGGTTAAGCTTGCTGAAATTCTTTCAGATCTGGTGAGTTTGCATGTGACTTGTTAATAAGAAATCTGTGATCTAACTACATTTTAGTATTGAGGTTTTTTTTTGTTAATTTGCTGAGTTTCTTGCAGACAAATTAACCTTACTATGTGCAGGCCTGGAGTGGCCATGTGGCTTAGATAACAGTATTTTATTATTTTTTTTTTTTTTTTTTCTTGTTTAACAATCAAAATCCATATCTTCTTTGAACCTGTGGATATTAGACTAGTTTTATTGGTGCCATCTGCACTCAAACTTGCTATGTTAGGATGTTTGAATAGTTTTTGCAATTCTAACCTTTCAGCATACTGATGCAGGATTCCATAATACATTAGCAAAATGTGCAGGTACATTGTGTACCTTTTAGTAAAAGTTATTTCTTTTTGCGTTCATGTGTATAATTAAAACTTGAGTACAGAATCACTTGCAGAAAATGAAACCCTACTTTATATTCTACACTGGTTTTCCATTTCTAAAGAACCATCTCCATAGAAACCAGAGGAATGATGGACTGGCCTACTTAGTTTCACTTTTAAAGTTTGCAACAGTTCCTCTTTATAAATGGACTCTGCGGTTACTAATGCATATTCTTACAGCTTACCCTGTCTATAACGTTATCACTGCCTGCCCTTTTCATGGTGCCAAATTTTAAATGTTGTTCTATTGTTTTTCTTCAAACCAATGACCCGGCATCATTCTATAGTGTGATTTCTCATTTTCCTTGTTGAGTTGATTATTGTTATTGCCATTTATATAGTGCCAACAGATTCCGTAGTGCTTTACATTTATAAGAAGGGGGAATTTAGCTATAAATAGGACAATTACAAGAAAACTTACAGGAACGATGGGTTGAAGGGGACCCTGCTCAAACAAGCTTAGTCTATAGGAGGTGGGTTATAAAACACATTAGGACAGAAAATAGCAATCAAATAAGGTGGGAGTGAAGCAGAGCTGGAGGAGAGAGTAGAGTGCTGCCCTTTAGGAGAGATCAACAAACAGGTATATAAGGTAGAGGTTACTTTGGGAGGCCATAAGCTTCCCTAAAAAGATGGGTTTTAAGGCATTTCTTAAACAATTGAAGACTAGGGCAGAGTCTGATGGCGGTAGGCAGGCTGTTCCATGGGAAGGGAAGTTGATCCGTGGTAATATGTTAAGGCCTTTGTGGTTTCTTTGCAACGTGAAATAATTGTAATCTGTTTAAGTCACGGTACTATCCTTTGCTTCGCCACTACTATAGGGTTTTGTTCATTGATAATGTTGTGAGTTGCAGATTTTTCTCATTCTTTTAAAAAAAATTTTTTTTAATCATAAGAGATTTTAGTAGAGGTAAAAAAATATCATATTTTATCTCCCTGTAACGTTAAAAGTATTTTTTAATTTAACGGGGATTTCATGTACATGCACACATCTTGCCTGTTTGGGTTTCAAGACAGCATGCGGCAATATAAGGGTTAATAATAAACCCAAGATCAGTGCTATGTAGAATAGATTTGGTATATAGCGTTTTATGCTCAAGTAAGCGTCTGGAAATTGGCCCATTATTATCTTTACAGAGACATGCTATGCTCTGCTTATTTTATAGTGCAATTTTGTATTCTTACTACCTTGCAGCTGTGTGTGCGCGTGTGTGTCTGCACACCGCTTGCTTAAATGTCATTTTGCAGCCACAGATGGGTAGCCGCAGTTGAAAACTGTATTGTGTGTATGTTTGTGTTTTTTCCTATTAACTTGAGTCAGTGGACCTTGATTGTAAGTAGATGGCAACAGAATGGGACGGGGGAGATAAACTGACATTGCACCAATCCGGTCAGCTGAACAAGTAAACACTCAAGCATTGCAATTATTATTCTACCTTGGACTTGAACCCTTTTTGAAACAAATGAGAACATTTGTTTACATTTAGAGATCAATTCTGTCAATAGCCTCTGCTTGTCCTGTGGATATAACATACCTTTTATGATACAGGGCGGCGTACTAAGGACTTCCAATAGTGCAGAGACTTTAACTTTCTGTGCATATATAAAACAGCAGTTGGCAATTTTTATATCAGAAATCACAGACCATTTCTCTTTTTTTTTTTTATTAGGGATAAGCAACAAGTGGAACGGTCTTTCTTTGCCTGTCTCCACAGTTTTAAAGCTGTACAACAGCTGCTGGAGTGGGGCTACTTTTTGTGCACCCCAGTGTATAAGAACCCCTATTGTTGCGGATGGAATTTCATGGTGGTTGTGATCATGTCTTGTCAAGCCCTTGTCATGAAGGGTTTAGTTGATGTGCACTCTTAAAAAATCTTACTAGTCTTTTGTTAGAATTTAGTTATTCCTTGCTATAAAGGTTTTAATTTTTTTTTCTTCTTCACTGTTGGGATCCTGCCATTAAAATGATATTTTTTTTTTTTCCCTTTGAAAACTGGCATTTGCTGATGACGTAAATGATGAACCTGGTTAATTTTTCTTTTGTGACAGCGTGGTTTGCATTAAATGTGTACTGAGCAATATCCAGCTTTATAGCTTACCTACATTATGTGTGTTTTTTTTTTTCTTTCAAATAGATGATAGGTTTCAAAAAAGAGAGCCATTTATCGGCTATGAAGCAATATTTTTGATATTCTGCCTAATTGCATGATAATTTAGAGAATTAGATTTTGTGAGGGGGAGGTCATGCTGTAGCAGAATGTATACCCTTTCATTGCTGCTGGGGGATGATGCAATTTTAAAACGGATTTCGTAATTTCATTCATGCTCATACTTTCCTATAGGTGGAAGTGACTGGCTCATGCTTAAACTTGCAGTTATAAGAAAAAAATATATATATATATTTATTTATTTTTTTACTTTGTAGTGTGAAAAAAAAGAAGAAAACTTTGCCTGGTTCTGTTTGCACAATTTCATTGGCAAATGATCCTTAATTGGGTTTAGCATTGTACACTCTAGTAAATGGGCACATTTAATGTAACTTATGTTTTCTATAGATACAGATTTTAGCTACTGTTACTTTTTCATTATAAAACTAGTCTCATTTTATTTATTTTTGTGTGTGACATGGGATCTGACATGGTGGCCCAAGGCATTTGTTTGATTAAACAGGGGAAATAGAATACATAAAAACCTTTTTAGTTAGAGATTTGATGTCTGTTTTGTGTTAAGTGTCCAATGGTGCTTGGCCAGCTTAATAGAAATGTAGTTCACAGCAGCTGGAGTTTGCAAACACTGAGTGATGCAGCAAAATTCCTTCTGGCACTTTTTGTTTTCGTTTGCTTGCCCTTTCTACACTTGCTCTTGCGCAAATCAGTACGTGTGTGTCTGTTTATTATTTAGAACACTGTTCTCCAAACTCCAGCTTTCAAGATGCTGCTGAACTATTATTTCCATGATTCTTTGAATTAAATATATAGCTAGAGAATCATGGGAGTTGTAGGTAAGCAACATCTGGAGGACAAGAGTTTCACAAGAGCCCTGATTTAGTACATAGAAGAGCTAATGTTACAACTCCTAGAAAGTTAATATTGGTGGTATTATTATTATTATTATTATTATTATTATTATTATTATTTTGTCTGCAGTAGCGTTCTGTGTGCATACTGGTTTCATGTAATGCAATATTGGAAAAATCTTTTTGTATATTGTCAAGTTTAGATCTGTGGGAAATAGTGGATATTTTACTTAAAATGCAAATCCTTGATCTTGGTGCTGTACTTCTTGTGCACATATTTTTAGAACATAAAATAGGCATGGGTAACTTTATAGTTGTGCATGTGGTTAGTGTTTTCTTCTTTAGGATCTCCATGTCTATTGATTTCAAACTATGTCATTGCGTTCAGTACATCATATGACTGACTAACTAGTAATGGATGAAGTTTAATACTAGAGCTTTTGTTGACTGCTTTTCCCGCTACTTTGACTCATCATGTGACTTTTAATATCATGTTAGATTAGTGGACTGCAAGTGATTTAAAAAAAAAAAAAAATCAGACATCACAGTTCTAGTCATTGTTGGTTTTTATCTTCTTCATGCATAAAAAAATAAATAAAAATAAACATTCTGTCTGAAGTCCAAGGTGAAGATAATCTGATAAATTTTTACCTGATCCGGTCAGCCTCTTCGGAGACTCAGCCATGTTCGGGCCCAGCACACAAAGACTTTATCTCAGGCTGGAAACCATTCATGGACTGGACAGGAAAGTCTTGCAGAAGGTGACCCTGAAATGTGGGATCTCGTACAGAAAGAGAAAGATCGGCAATGCCGTGGGCTGGAGATGATTGCCTCCGAGGTATGTGAAAAATTGCTACTTTATCACTTCTACAATATATTTACATTCTGCATAATTTCTACTTTGTGCTAACCAAAGGTGGTTTGAAATGTATAAACAAAAATAACCATGTTTGGTTTTACGATTGTATCTTTATTTTAGAATAGAGGTAGAACAATATTTGTAATAGCCAAAATGGAATATAAGCATCCTTCTCACAATATGTATTATGGAGCTGCACTCAAGACATTTAATGTCACATAGCACTTTTTAGGTATCTGCTCACCACCACGGCATCGGCCATTTTGGAGGATGCAGAAGCAATTTTTATGCAAGTAGATATTTCACCAAAATAATTATTGGTGCAAGCACAATATATGGATTAGTCATCCACACATCTGCTGTACTGCTCAAATAGCAGCACTGTTTTTATTCTGTTCTCTTTTATAACACCATCCAAGTGTTATGGAAACATAATTTTAACATCCACCCTCTCCCTTTGTTCCTATGTTATGTGTTGTTACCTGTGTCTTGGCAAGATGGCATCACCATTTTTATATTTTCCTAGAACTTCTGTAGCCGGGCAGCCCTGGAAGCCCTTGGTTCCTGTCTCAACAACAAGTATTCTGAGGGATACCCAGGAAAGAGGTAAGAGATGTGCAGAATAATTACCTGAAATGTCAAAATTGACATGCACTCTTTACAGTTCTAAATGGTTTGCCATTTTAACTTGTGCAATTAGTGCAAATGAGGTCATGTAAATAAAAGTACTCCTTAAATAAAGGAGAATGGAAGTCCGGATGTAACTAGGTGTGTGTGTGTGTGTGTGTATGTATGTATATATTAATTTTTCTATCTATCTCATAATTTTGTTTTATTTTTATTTTTTTCTCCTTTTAAAGTTGCATCAGTATTTGGCATGTATTTCACTTATAACGTTTAATTTAAATTGACCTTCTTAAAGATGGTCTGACCGTTTGTCCTAGACCATTTTTCATTCCTTCACTCACATAAAAAAAAAAACCCTCCTTAATGTATTTATTGGGGAGAACAGTACAGTACACATTGCTTCCATGTCCATTTACAGTATCTTTCCATTGTGCTCTGTGCTTGTTCAAACATCTGCATAGAAAATGCTGTATAAGAACATAAACTGACGAGCACACAAAACCAGGGGTTGATGAAGTCCATTTTCATCTTGTGCTGGAACTAAAGTAAATGATTGAATTGTAAAAGGGTTGGGTTTTTTTTTTTTTTGCTTTTGGTATCCCACAGACTTTTAATCCAAACTACAGTTTGTTCCTCTTCCATAATTTTTCTTATGACACTGTATTAATTGGCTTGGTAAATAATGACCTATTTGATACTCCTATTATCCTAATAATTTTTTTTTTCTGTGTAATGTTTTCCCTTTAAAGGTATTATGGTGGAGCTGAAGTTGTTGACCAGATAGAGTTGCTCTGCCAGCAGAGAGCACTGGATGCCTTCAATCTGGACCCAGAAAAATGGGGAGTGAATGTACAGCCTTATTCTGGTTCCCCAGCTAACTTTGCAGCATACACCGCTCTCCTTCAGCCACATGATCGCCTCATGGGACTTGATCTTCCTGATGGAGGACAGTAAGTATGCATAGAGACTATATATCTTGAAGATACTGACCATCTATGCATCTTCAATGAATTCATTATACAGATACTGCATTAAAATGATACAAAAAACACTTCATATTCAGAACTCCCATTCAAAATCTTTCTGTTCTCTGGGGTCTGATCCTACCCCATAACCTCCTCTACAGCAGGGGTTTATGTGATGAGTAGTTACATGTTGAATGGAAATTTTCTGACAATTTATAGCCGTCATACCACAACTGTTATCCGGTTACATCTAGCTAACTGTTTTTTGTGCAGTTATCAATGGGAGGCGAGAGCTCATCCAGTTTGTGTAAAGGATGAACACAATTAACACAGCAGTAGTAAGTTTTCCAAATTGCTGCAACTCTAAACCACCATCAGAGCTGATTGCAATTGCAGGCTTTAATACAAAACTGGGTATAGTGATAACGTGGCAACCACACAAGTTCTTAAATTGATAAAGACACATGGTGTGGTTGAAACGTTCTCACTCTGTATCCCATTTTGTATAAAAAGCGTGCATTTTCCATCTGAGGTGCTCTGATCCTGTATTTGAACATTTTTATGCTCATCATGATTTAGAAAGCAATTCTTGGTTAAATATAGATTGCTTTCTTTTTTTTTGTCATTCAAGGTTTTTATTAAGGTCATTCAATAGTTACAGATGGGGTGTGATCATGTACGTGTCAGAGTACAGTGTTATGTAGTTCAGCATGGTATACAGTTTGAGAGTGTACGATACATGCATGGTGCATTTCACGTCTAACATTGTTTGCTAAGAGAAGCTTTTCCAGTTGGTAAGATATTTATGTGGTTACGTTACTTTGTAGGGGTATGTTGTGGTTCGCAACACTTGGGTCCAGTGAGGTTGGCCTTTCACTGGGGTTTCGAATAGGAAGCCCTAGGCCTAGTGTTTAGGGGTAAGGAAGGGGGACCTGTGGGCGGCAGGGGGGTGCATATGTTGGTTGTGCAATTACTTGTCTCTGCGTTGTTTCGTCCCTGGCAGGCTGTGTGTGGCCAGAGCCGCCAGGAGGAGGGCGGGAAGATAATAATGAAGGATAGGGGTAAGGAGGGATGGATGGGTTCAGGGTAAGCAGTGTGGAGGGTTAGGGGAGGAGGTCCAGGCCCCATCCCAGCTCCCCCTGCCTCCGGCCAGGGTGGAGGTGAGCTAGTGGTACCAGGTATTGTGATATCTCTGTATACGTCCCTCCGCCGAGAGGATGAGCTCCTTAATGCGTCTGATGTCATCCACTCCATCAGCGTCGGGTCCGTGGGTCTTTTCCAATGTCCCGGAATTATTATTTTTTTTTAATTTGTTCACAGTGATTGTGGTCAGTTGGAGGTAGGTTTCAGGTGTGAGTTGTAGGTTCGCGTCCGTTACGGTCTCTAGGGTTGTGTGGATTTCTTCCCAGAAGGGTTTGATAAGTGGGCAGGTCCGCCAAATATGGAAGAGTGTTCACAGTTCCCTCCTGCATCTCTTGCATTCTGGTTCACAGGTGGCCTTCATTACTGATAGTTTCTCTGGTGTGTTGTACCAATGTGAGATCATTTTATATCCTGTTTCCTGGAATTTCGTGGCTATGGAGGCTTTGTGTATGAGTGTGAACACTGTGGTCCATTGTTCCCCGGTGAGTGCGTGTCCTAGGTCCTTTTCCCAGTATCTAGTGAAGTAAGGGTGAGGCGCATCGGTGGAAGGTGTAATTTGTAGGCGGTAGAGGAATTAGATTGTGTGCGGTGAGGTTGGGGGGTTCGTGCAGATGACTCAGCAGGTAGAGAGCATTCGTGATGCTGAGTCCAATCTGGGTATGTTCTTCAGGAATCTCGTCAATTGGTGGTGTCTGAAGCGGAGTGGCCAGCTATGTGGGGTGTTCGGAACCAGGTCTCCCAGAGGCGTGATCGTGCTTTGTTTGTATATGTCCTTTAGCCTACAAGGGTATGGCAGTCCCAGTGTCATGGCGTAGCGAGGATCTGCCGCCGGAGGAAATCTTGGGTTGTGAAATAGGGGGCACAGAGGTGAGAGCTCCGGGGCTAGGTCTCTACGCGGTGCTATGCGCCTCCAGACAGTCATTGTGGCGTTTAGGGAGTTCGCCGATCATGGCTTTTGGAAAGATAGGGGTATTTGTGAGAAGCTTGCTTCCATCGGGATCCAAAGTTTATCTTTCGGGTTGTGTGTCCATTCGATCAGGCGCTGGAGATGGACGACCCACCGATATTTAGCCAGGTCAGGCAGTCCCAGTCCCCCGTGCTGCTTGGGTTTTGTAAGGGTGGCGAAGTTCAGTCTTGCTTTTTTGTGGTACCATACATAGTCTGCCAGTATCTGTCGGGTTTGTGTGAAGAGGGTTTTGGGGATGTGTATTGGTAGGGTTTGCAGGAGATATGAGTTGTGGGAGTATGTTCATTTTAAGTACACTGATCCTCCCTAGCCATGTAATGTGAGGGAGTTTCCAGGTGTTCAGGTCTTCTTTTTTTTTTATCTGGTCGAGGAGGGGCAGGAAGTTCATTCGGAAAGTGTCTGAGAGGTCTGCCGATAACCAGGTCCCCAGGTATTTGATTGCCTCAGTACACCAGTGGAAGGGGAAGTCATTTTGCAGCGTGGTTACCAACGTTTGAGGGCATCCCATGTTGAGGATTTCCGATTTTGTGAAGTTTCTTTTTAGGTTTGACAGTGTGCCGTATATGTCGAATTGATGCATCAGCTCTCTGAGGGAAGATGCTGGGTTGGTAATAGTAAACAGGAGATCGTCCACACATGCAGAGACTTTGCTGACTCCCCATCTGCCTCTGATCCCAGAAATGCCAGGTTGGGTTCTAATGGCGTTAAGGAACGGCTCCAGGCTGATGACAAAGAGCAGGGATGACAGTGGGAACCCCTGTCTCGTACCTTTTCTAATCTCAAATGGATCCGAGAGAATTCCGTTTACTTGTACTCGGGCAGCCGGGTTGGTGTATAGGGCCAATATCCATGCCATCATGTGTGGTCCCATCCCAAGGTGTTCTAGTGTGGTCATCAGAAAGGACCAGTCAACTCTGTCAAATGCATTCTCCACGTCTGTTGAAACCAGCAGGGTGGGCGATGATTCCTTCCTTGCCGCGTGGATCATATTGAGTGCCTTGATTGCATTGTCTCTGGCCTCCCGTCCCTCCACGAATCCCACCTGGTCAGGGTGGATGAGATCTGGTAGTAAGAGTAGGATGCGTACGGCCAGGATCTTGGCAAATAGCTTGAGAATGGCATTTAGCAGGGATATCGGTCGGTAGCTGGTGCATGAGGACGGGGTCCTTTCCTTCTTTCGGTATTACCACAACAAGGTATAGATTGCTTTCAAGTCCCCTCATCCCTCCAAATGTACTACCACCAATTTTATATGTTTGCGAATAGATCGTGGATTGTAGTGGAAACCTATGTGTTCAGCATGCTTTTGTGGTAATGGTGCCAGTTTAGTCAAATGTATTATCATTACTCTGACTACAAACTTTTTCTAAATGATTATCTGCATACCCTTCATCTTTTATTTACAGTCTTACTCATGGATACATGTCTGACGTGAAACGCATCTCTGCTACCTCAATATATTTTGAGTCCATGCCTTATAAGTTAAACGTAAGTATCTCATAATGCAAGTGTTTTAAATACATCTAATTTTTTGACGTGTCTTCTTAGTGAATGTTCCTAGTTTCAAGGTTCACAATAATTAAATGATGATGTTACAGTGTACTGCATTTGCTGTTCTACCTTTCAACCGAATTACATGTGTGCATTTAATGTTGAGAAATATTGTGCAGACGTGTGAGGTAAGAATCAGATGATCTATTCAGTCATCCGGTCTTACAACTTATGTTTTTGTATAAACATCCAAGCGTTCATTCATTTGTTTGAAATTGTAAAACCGTTTTCTAATCCAAATGTGAATACATGTTGTAGTGTGTAGAATTACGGGTCTTCTGATGGTTAGCTGCCTTTATTGTAGACAAGTTGAGAAAATAGAGTGTGGCTTTCAATGTTTCGGTCCACACTTCAGAATTTTTTTTTTTTCTTAACAGCGATTTTGTGTTTACTGGTCAGGTCTTAAATGGGATGGAAAGGGTGACTTAATTTAATATGCACACCTAAAATATAGTGTGTGTGTGCTACGTACTGATGTTGGATCACATTGGGACTACCGTCACAGTTAGGCAGGTAAAAACAGATGACCGTTTTTATATATAACATTTCTCTTCGATGGACTTGGTTACGCCACTATTTGATATTTGTCTAGGTGGCAAGACCTTTTAGGTAAGCTATGAGGAAATGTCAAATAAGGTTTAAGATTGAAAGTACATGAAAGATATATGTTCAGAATCCAAATTGGAAGGGACTGTGAAAGAACAGGCAATAAAGTGAATGCTAAAAATTACTAATAAAGTCAATCTAAATAGAAATACAGTCAGGTGAAACTATATACTTTTTCAGTTAAAAACAGGCAAGCCATGTACATAATGTAAGACGATGAAACAAAGTAAACAGACATTCACAATTTAATAAAGCACAGAAAATATGGTAGTAAATGGATAACGATTGTGATGTGCGTTCAAATGGTCTTCTAGAACACCTTATTTTGGGAGGGAGAAAATAAGTCGTCCCCTCCCCCCCCACTTCCCCCATCCCTTTAGTATGAAGGTATGTATATATTACACAAAAATTTATATTGTGTATAAATTCATTGGCTTTGCTGACTGTTAATCATTATGGTTAACCGTGATGGGACATGTACTTAGCCCCTTCAAGTGCTGCAGAACATCCCTGTAGTGTGCAGAGCCCTTGCTGACTGGTTGCTAGTCTCAAAATTTTTACATACAAAAGTGCATTCTATTGTACTAGTAGGGAGGGGTTGCCGAATGTCCTTTACAGTCCCTCTGCATGTTGAGGGACAGACTGATACTCTGGCAATGCAATATATATATATTTCAGAGCAGTTACACAAATGTTGGTTTTGTGTAAAAGCACATATCCAAAGCCTTCAAACCTTGGACAGCTGTGATAAATTGTGATTGGATTAGTATGGCCGTTATTGTGTGCTGTATGATGAGTTTCTTTTAATTAAAGTAAGGAAGACACCCAAATCCTTACTGGACCCTAGCTGCTAGTGGTTAGTGCTAGTGTAGTGGTTCAGTGGCTGAGAGCATCTCTTTGTGTTGAAAGGGAAGGGGGGAGTTAAACACATCTACATACTATAACTTGTATAAGAAAATAGAGAATTGCATTATTTTGATGGATCAAGTGTATTCTTTGATTTTTCTGATGCAATAAGCAAATTAAATCTCTGTAGGCTTGCTCTTCCCAACTTGTGAGGAGAGACGCTTTTCCAGATGCGCAGATCCTGACTAACATGTTTGCTAATAGACTGCATCTGTACATGCCACACTTCATTTCTCTCAATCAAGCCTGCTTTGTTCTGGAGCAATAGGCAGACAACAATGTTTGCAAACAATCAGTCTCCGTGGCTTAATGCAATAGAAAAGGGAAGCAGGCTTTTACTTTAGAACCAATATGAACATGCAACAGCTAAGGCATTATATGTAACAGATAAGAGGATTTGGGATCAACTGTGCATTTTTAGAGTCTGATTCCTCTAAAAGTTAGTTTGTGTGCTTTATTTTAATTTTATTTTTTTACATTTGCAGTAACTGATAGACATTTACCAAACCAAGTAACTGCATGTTTTAGTTCTAAATAGCTGTGATCGAAAACAAATTACTTGGATAATCTTTTAGTTACTATGCCTGCCTTACCCCCAATTTCTAGTTTTAGTGAATAAATCCCCATTGTAATGTGTTTTAAAACATAGTGTGAATTTGGAACTTGGTTTGTGTAAATAAAATGCTGCTTTCTTGATCTAAATTACATTCTGTAAATAATCCCATCTATTGGCTGTGCCAATTGAAATGTCCATCTTTAGCCGTTTTAAAATGCAAAATATTTGGATAAATGTTCTAAATAGAGCAGGAGGTGATGACTTGTTCATTCACAACATAATTTTGTGCTAAATGCGCTCAAGGCAAAATTGTATTTCTATAGATTAAATAATTTCCAGATGACCACTGAATTTAACATATACTGCAGTTTAATTCCTATTGCACATGGGTTTTTAGAGGCGCCTCAATCATGAATTTGCTTGGTTCTATTAAACTTCCCTATGTGAAGAATGAAGAGGGACTCCATGGGATCTCAATCCATCTCTAACCATACAAGTGACATTTTGACAAGCAATATAAGAAATGAGGGTTTGTTAAGCCAATTAAGATGTTTAATAATTTTTCGAATAGAAGATATGTTTGCACCTCTTAGACATTCTTGATATTGTGGATCGATTCCATCCCAGTCGCCCCCCATGCCATGCACCTTTTAAGCCAGCATATTTAGTCATAATGAAAAGGCATTGTTTACAGCATCGAGTATTTGATTGTGTGTCTTCACTTGCATTTGGTTTTGTGGATCTTACTGACCCAAAGTATTCCTCTATCCTTGCTGAGAGCTTATGCTTAAAGTAGATATCGGTAAAAAAACAAAAACCTGATAGTAATTGCTTGCAGAGAGAGAATTTTAGAAATTCTTTGAATGCTCATAAAGTCTCTCTCTAAATAAAAGGCTTTCACTGTAAACATGAAGTTTCTAAATAAGCCGGACAGTGGGGCCATTTGGTTCTTACCTGATCTGTTCCCACATTTGATTTTTATTGGCATTATTAAATGCTGATATACTTATTTTGAGCTTATCAATCATTCTACATTGTAATTTTTTTTATTTTTTTTTATTTATTTTTTTAACCCTCCTGAACATTTAGTTATTTTAATGATCATTTTGGGAGCATCTCTAATATTCGTGCTTCCAGTTAAAAGTACTATATTTGATCCTTTATTAAAATATATGCTTTAAAATCTAATGAAGGAATCTGACTCTGCATATAATGTGTATTCTAATTTTGCGCTCTAATGCTTTAACACGGCATTTTTTTTTAACATTGTCTCTTTATTTTAGCAAGCAACAGGACTAATTGACTATGACCAGCTGGAAATCACTGCACGTCTTTTCCGGCCAAAGCTTATCATCGCTGGAACAAGCGCATATGCACGCCTGATTGACTATGCCAGGATGAGAAAGGTATGTAGTCAGTGTTCCCTTGTTTCTCTGAAAAGCCATTCACTTTATCTGTCTAACCATTTGAATATGATTGGGTTGTTTTATCTGGTGGGGAAAAAAAAACATGCATAGTTTGTGTTCATGTTTTAGTTTAAATTTGTCATCTAATGTAATTAAGGTGAAACCAGAAATACCTGTGTGACTCTCATCCAGACAGTAAGTGGTGAAGCCAGGAACGAGCCTGCTACCCTCCTGTTTCTATTATGTATCGTTACTTGAATTTGTGCGTTGTAATGAAACCATTTAACCATTGTGACCTGTAGTGCCTCATTTGTTCAGGGGGATTGTCCCAGCACATTATTTTCATAGCATAAGAACACACTGCTCTGTATGGTTGTGGAGAAATGTTAAAGGGACACTAAAGGCACCAAGACCACGTCATCTCATTGTCCCTGTCCCCTTAACCATGCAATGTAAATCATTGCATTAGGTTCTCCCATCACTGGAAGAGGAGACCAATCCAGCACCAAGGGAACTTGGGGCTGAAAAGTGGTAAGTGAAAGAAGGGGTTATTATAATCACACACAAGAGGCTCCTGCAGGATCTAGAAGGCTATTAACAGAGCAGGCGATAAGAGATTCTAAATTGAACAATGTGCAATAAAGGAAGTTTAAACATTAGATCTCTAGGGCAATGTAAGTCACATGAAGAATTGTTGCTAGGGATGCATAAACAAAGTGCCTTGACTGCAAATGGCAGATAACTGAGCAGTGAGACTGCAGGAACATGATCTATACACCAAAACTGATTAAGCTAAAGTCATTCTGGTGACTTTAATGTCTCTTTTAAGTATGACTTTAAATCTGGTGAAAGGGGAAAAAAACTCAAAACCAGACAAAAATAAGCATCTTATATCATCACAATCCGTATATAACTATCAATTATGTAACAAGCTAAATAAAGATATTGTGTACAATAACCCAAATTGTAATGAATCATGCGTGGCCCTGGAATCAGCTAATTGAAAAGAGTTGAGCTTTTTGTGGTTTTGTTGGGGAGTGGGAGCGGAGGGACACTATATAGTGTTCCTTTAAGTCATGGACTAAAACTCATGGTAAATCACAAAAGGGCGATGGTACTCACATGCAGATGAAGCATCACGCGTGATCCAAATTTAGTTTTATTAGAGTTAAACAGTATTTAAGGGTTTTTGCTTGATAAAAGCTCTTTTTATAGGGATGAAACTTCACTATTTTGCTCTATAAAACTATTTGGACCATACGTGTGCTTAAAGGACCACTATAGTGCTAGGAAAACATACTTGGGTTTTCTGGCACTACAGGGTCTCTCGCTCCCCCTCCCACCAGGCTCTAGGGGGTGGAAGGGGTTAATCCCTTTACCTTTTTTCCCTGCTGGGCTCCCTCGGCGCGGGAAACTCTCCTCCTTTTTGCCGTCATCGGCTGAATGCGCATGCGCGGCAAGAGCCGAGCGCATTCAGCCAGTCCATAGGAAAGCATTCTCAATGCTTTCCTATGGACGCTGGCGTCTTCTCACAGTGAAAATCACAGTGAGAAGCGCGGAAGCGCCTCTAGCGGCTGTCAGTGAGACCAACACTAGAGGCTGGATTAACCCTAATGTTTCTCTGAAGCTGCTATGTTTACAGCAAAAAGGGTTAAACCTGGCACCCAGACCACTTCATTAAGCTGAAGTGGTCTGGGTGCCTATAGTAGTCCTTTAATTGGATTAAAACTCCTGACCGTGTCTGTTTGTAACAGAGGAATAAATCATAATATCTCATATAGTACAATGTCTGCTGCTCTTATTGTATTGAATGGGGCTGTGCCCTTCTAAGCCAGAGAACCATGGGAAAAACTTTGGGATAGTACATTTACAGAATAGAATGTAAAATGTCTATGCAATAAATCAGATCTACCTTTCTTGCATTACTTAACGCTTTCTATTGAAAAGGGAAATTATCTGATGTACTTGTTAAGGATGACTTTCCACTCTTTAACCTGCGTAGATATTACATTTATACAGTTCTTCTGGTTTGGAATGTGTGAGAATGAGTATTTTAATTTTATAATGTTGGCAAACTTGGCCTATGATAAGTAGATCTTTGACTAGCTCTTGCATCCTTTTTATAGCTCTTAAGGAGCTAAGCCCCCTTTATTTGGCTGCTGCTCCTTTGCTGACTTTATCTTACTCGGTGATCTTTCCAATATTGCCATTCTGCAAACATTTTTATTAATGTCTTCTGTATTGGAAATTCTTTAATATCCTGGAGTAATAAAAGTAGCACAATATTTTTCACTGTAACAATAAATTGCAGTTTGCTGACCAACAAAATTTCAAATATGTATGCGCAACAAATTAAAGCTGTACTGTCTAACCGTGACACTTCTCATCTGTTTCTTACTAAAAACATAAGACAAAGTAGGGACTACTTTGTCTTGTGTATTTTTCCTACTCCTGACTTTCTTAGACATTAGGCTACTGCCGTTTATAAGTGACAGTCTCCCCAGCTGTCATCCGTGATGGCTACAGGGAATTGGCTCTGTCTATGGAGAATCCTATGGAATTCTCCATAGACCTCAATGTTGTACTATTGAAATATCCTCCAGTAGATAAAGGATATGAGAAACACCGTACCTGGGAACCTTTTTAAATTTTCATTCCCTGAGTTCTTCACACTCCAGATAAAAATGGGGGAAACTGTCTTTATGAAGGGGACACGGCTGGCTTTAGAGTTCATTTCATTATAACCTATATCAGGTAGGCAACCTTTGGCACTCGTGATGTTGTGAACTACATCCCCAATAATGCTGGCAAAGCATCATGGGTGGTGTAGTCCAAAAAATCTGGAGTGCCGAAGGTTGCCTATGCCTGACCTATATAATCTATCAGACCTCAAAATTTCCACTAGCCATTGGCAAATAAACTCCCTGGTGAATAAAAATTAAGCCCTTGTGAGTATGCAATGGACTCTCCAAGCTTGCCTTTACGGCCTAATTAGTAGACCTAACACTTGAAGTTTTAAGCCCTGTAATATACATAGGTAACTATTGCGCTTGGAGAGTTATTTTCCATAAATGTCATTTTTCAGCTCATCGCTAATGCCTTTCCGTACTCTTTGGATTGTGATTCTGCTGTTGTATAACTTTAAATCGAATCAGGTTATCTTCACTGTGAACCTGGGAGAGAAATCCAGGTTTATACATTCTTATTTAGTTCTGCAAATGCTGCTCAGACAGAGACAACAGAAGGTGCAGCATCTTGGTTGGTTTAGTCTAGCGTTATCCTGAAACCCTTTGGGGATATATCATAAAATGCAAGAAAAGGAAATGTTTAGCTATTTTAAGCAAACCCTTTCCAGCCTGAGCACAAAATTAAGTTGCGTTGAGAGTAGAAAAGCTTGAACAGTCTCACCAAGGGAGCTACAAGACCAGCTCTTCTCCTGAGGATGAATTAGGGCTGAATTTACAGCTGAGGCATGAAAGTGTAATTGATCTCTACTCGAAAATGGTAAACTAGAACATTTTGTTAAAGTGATGATTTGCAGGTCTTTTAGAAATCTGTCAAACACATACTGAAATGTCTTGAAGTGTGTAATGGGGACACCTGCAGTAAAAGTGGAGGTCGTTCATTATTCCATATTCTTCAGGGACACTAACTTAATCCAGTCCATTTCTAGCCTTGCATGCAGAGACTGTGACTGGGGTTCTAGTCCAGGACACGATTACGTAACGGAGCATGTTCCAGCCTGGGGAGTGCTAATCAGATCTTTCTCATTGCAGGTGTGTGATGACGTGAAGGCTTATTTATTGGCAGACATGGCCCACATAAGTGGCCTTGTAGCAGCTGGAGCCATTCCATCTCCTTTTGACCACTCTGATGTTGTCACCACCACGACGCACAAGACTCTACGAGGAGCCAGGTGAGAGATTTTTTGCTATTGTCCTTGTTCTATTATTTCTCAGACAGGTAGACCATGTCTTATTTCTGGTTCGCTTTTTCACCACTCATTGGTTAATTTACAGTGATGTGTCACGTCCCTCCCCGACCCCCCCCGCATATAACTCTGTTCAAATGGCAGGCTGCTCTAGGTTTAGATGGTTATGGAAAAAGGCAGTAGGGGTAAACCTGGCTCTAGAAATTACTTTAAACTCAATGAATATCACAAGGAAAGGTACCGTTGGTTCCACTTTACAAATAAGCAAGTCTCAGTTATTGAATAGCTAAATAAAGCTGACAGCAGGTATATTGGTTATACCGAAAAGGGAAATCATTTGGGGAGAGAGAATTTGTGTGTGCGCATGCACACTTGCAACGTACATGCTCAGCCATTATTCCTGTGCAGTATACATTTCTGCCTGCACAGTGCAGCTTATTACCATCTATAAAGCGCCAACAAATACTGCAGAGCTGTACAATGGATGTACTAACCGATAAGTATTTGTAGCCAGATGAGTTGAATACACAGGTTAAGGGTCCTGCTCAAAAGGGCTTACAGTCTACAGGCAGTGGGATATAGGAACACAAAAGGCAAGGTTAGGGTAGAAAAGTAGCTGATACCGCATTCTTACCTGTGCATTGTGCAGATGGAGTGACCAGGTGGTGACAGAATATGCATAGATGTCCAGGTCAGCGTGAGGAAGTTGCATTTATCGTGTCTATTACATCTGTAGTACACAAACAGGTTTTATAGTGTGAGATAGATACTACACAACCCCAGTTGTGTGCCTATCCATGGCCTTTGTGTAAGGGGAGTGAATCACTAGTGTCTGACAGAACACATAAACTGTGTAGCAAGAGTCTGTGAACAGTTCTTTTATTTATTAATTTTCTTCACAATCCTGCTTTGATAACAATTGCACCATATAAATCAGAAAGTCTGTGTACAGTCAGTCAATAACACAAAATGGCAGATAGTTATGTCAGTTGGCAGAATACAGAGGACTGTGTGTGTTTTTTTTTTTTTTTTTTAATCTGTCTGTCAGTCAAACATTGTAATAAAATAAACAGATGAACGGTATTGCTACACTTGTCTGCGGTTTTAGGAGTAGTGATAGAGCTAGTAGGTCGGGAAGTACGTAGATGCCTCTACATTGATCAGCTTTTTAAGAGACTTATGGTAATAAACCGATATATAGAGGTGCTTCTCTTCCCTCCCCCCTTCCCTCCCCCCCTTAGGTATGCTTGTTAGGATATATAAAATAGATATGCTCATGTAAAAATAAAATAAAAGGGAGGGGGTGGGAGGGAGGGATGGATGCAAGACAAGCCCCTCCCATAAATATCTGTGCCTGTGAGAACACAATTATCTCCCAGGCACAGAGATTTATGGAAGGGGCTTGTCTTGCATTGAATGGCGTCCTCATGCTGGGGACTGTGTATAAAAGCAGGCAACTTGGCCATAATAAACCAGTTCCTTTACACCAGGCTTCCCCAATCTCTGGCCCTCCAGATGTTGCTGAACTACAACTCCCATGATTCTATGAATGAAATAGGCTGAGAATCATGGGAGTTGTAGTTCATCAACATCTGGAGGGCGGTAGTTTGGGGAAGCCTGCTTTACACTCTTCACTCAGTCTGGGCTAGCGTTTGTGTGCAGGAGAGCTTAATCACTTGAAGCTGTACCCAGGACCCTGTTCTATGGCGGAAAGAAACTGAGTGACCCCAGCCAAGCTGCAGTGGCTAGGGGCTAAAGCACTCCTGTGTCCTGGAGTAGGGCTAGAAAGCGAGATTGATGGAGGTACCCAGTCAGGGTGCCAGTTGGTCCCTGACATATGTAGTCATTAAAGATTTCAATGACTTCAGTTTGTCTTTGGGACCCTAGAAAGTAAAGTTTTTGCAAGCAATATTTTTGTTAAATTTTTGGCATATTTGCCAGTAGAATAGATGTGCAATTGATTAAACTGTGTTCCATTCTAGAAAACAAGACTTAAAATATGCTAGCTTTGCAATTGTCCTAGTTTTATTTATAACATAGTTGTTTGTTTATTTTTTAATTTTTTTTATGTATATAAGTATGTGTATCTAATGGAGGATACAAGCTGTCATGTCCCGTGAGATCAGATGTAAGAGAAATCTCTGTTCTAAGTGCTTTAATTTTTTACTAGAAGATGTGAACCTATGAATCACTGACATACTGTAGGTAGGACTAAAACGTTTAATATTACACAAGTTCAAAAATGGTCTGGGCGTGTGTAATTACACACTGATGTGCTTGGGAATGTAGTGTGCAACTGGCTTTTTTTTTTTTTTTTTTTTGGCCCCTTTACTTCCCCAGGAATACCCTGAGCTTTTGTAAACTGTCACTTGTGTAAAAAGGATTTGCCTTTAGAAATATTTTGTAGCAGATCAAACATGCCAATTTATTTGGTTGATCTTTAGCGGAGGGGGGGAGCAACAATTATTTATATAACTGCATTACAAGCAAGTCTCTCTCATTTGTGCTGCCATGCCAGGTGTACTTCACTACGAATGTCTCCCTTCACAGTAAATTGACTTAGTGTAGTGTTTATTTACAGATTACATGCATTTTACAGGGTGTTAAGGTACCTAGCACAGATTGCTGTGCATGCATGTTGAAACCATGATCTGCTTCTAACTGGGCTCTCACAACACGATCTGCTTTCCCTCTGCTAATCATGTCAGCTTCTGTTCAGCTCAATTAACAAGTAGGTCTTGGAGTAAATTTCCCTTTGTCTCTACCTCCCTTGTTGTGTGGTTTTTTTTTTTAATTGTATATCTTTTTTCACCTTTTTTATTTATTTATTTATTTTTTTTATTTTTTTGAGCTTCCTTGTTATAACAACCTAGAGTAAAGTGTGAACTGGAAGCTGTGCCATACTAAGCAGCAGGGGTATGCGGGCCACATGCTGTGATATATTTACCTTTTCTGTCTAGACTTTTAGAAACCTTCCATACCACAGAATGCAGCCTTACATCATACATTCCTTGTAAGGCAGGGTTGACAAAAGGAGGTATACATGTACCTGTAGTTACAATCATCACAGTGCTTTGCCATCTTTTGAACAAGTGGAAGTCTTCCTCTTCGCCACATCTGCCTCTTAATTAAGATTACATATACCTTTTAGTTCCTACTGGGAGAATGACCCATGCATTTATAAGATTCTTATTTCTCTCAATTTGACTTTAACCTATGGATCCATATCACCATTGGCTTTTTTTTTTTTTCTGCTCATCATTCAAACAAGTTTATTTGTTTTTATTAGGTCCGGGCTGATATTTTACCGAAAAGGAGTTAAATCTGTTGATAAGAAGACTGGAAAAGAAATCCTCTACAACTTTGAAGATAAAATAAACTTCTCCGTGTTCCCTTCAATCCAGGGTGGACCTCACAATCATGCAATTGCTGCTGTTGCTGTGGCTTTAAAGCAGGTAAAGAGTTAATTTATCTGTGTTGACCTCATTAATTAGAGGGCAGCTTGTTTTGTAAATGACGGTGTTCTTACTGTGGAAATCTCTTGTTCTCCTATGTATTGATGTGAGGGGCATTTTTGTCACTTTAGTTTTTATGACTAAAGGGATACTCTAGCCACCATGACTCCTGATTTTAGAAGTGGTCATGGTGGTAGCAGTCGGTATGTTTCACAAAAAAGGGGGCGACGCAATAATTTTTTTTATTTTTTTAAAAAAAATTTTTTAGGCTAAGGTCAATGTTTCTTTAATCGTAGGGCAGTAGCACCTACCTTAATTCACCCTCTCTTCCTTTAGTTGCATACTGGGGAGAGAAAATCACAACATTTCTATCCAGCATGTCTACCGACCAATGAGAATAGAGGCATGTCCTATCTAGTGTAAGGAATGGTCACAGCACAGACTGCACTGCGGCTAGATCCAATATGTGCTCCTCTCCCTCACTCCCTGTAATATATTCTCCTCCAGTCCCTACCAGCCAACCTCCCTACCCAATGGTAACCACTTCCCTGCCAGCCAACCTCCCAACCCATTGTTAACCCATCCCCTGCCAGCCAGCCTCACTACCCAGTGTTAACCCCTGCCAGTCCCAGTAAGCAAACCTCACTATCCAGTGTTAACCCCTTGCCCTCCAGCACATATCACAAAGCTCTATGGGTATTTGAGTTTCTCTTTATATTTATTTATATTAAATATATGATACTTAGTGTGTGTGTGTTGTGGTTTGTAAGTTCTAGTGTTTGAATGCGGAGGCCTCCGAGGAGGCTTGATGGGGAATATGCATTTTTTTGTTTACTTGTACAGTTCCTTTAAGTAATGTCAGCAACTGTTCCCTGGCAGTAGAAATTCAACTTTCTTTGGCTGACCCTAGCATATATTTTTTTTCATACTGCTCTGAGTTTAGAAGGCCTTAGACTTGGGTTTTTTTTTTTATATAATTGCATTTGGATTATTCAACACCGTGCAGTACTAAACATTAAAGGAACACTATAGTCCCCAAAACAACTTTAGCTTAATGAAGCCATTTTGGTGTGTAGAACATGCCCCTGCAGCCTCACTGCTCTATTCTCTGCCATTTAGAAGTTAAATCACTTTGTTTATGAACCCTAGTCACATCTCCCTACATGTGACTTGCACAGCCTTCCTAAACATTTCCTGTAAAGAGTCATCTAAAGTCTATCCTTTCTTTATTGCAAGTTCTGATTAATTTAGATTTTCTGATCCCCTGCTATGTTAATAGCTTGCTCGACCCTGCAAGAGCCTCCTGTATGTGATTTAAAGTTCAATTTACAGAGCAAGAGATAAAATTGTTTAAGGTAAAAAATAAAATTTCATGAACACTGTGACCGTCACAGCCAGAGGAGGTGTGGCAAGGGCTGCATAAACAAAAAAACAAAGTGATTTAACTCCTAAATGGCAGTGAATTGAGCAGTAAAACCTGATCTATACACTAAAACCGCTTCATTAAGCTAAAGTTGTTTAGGTGACTATAGTGTTCCTTTAATCAAGCAGATCAAGTAAAAGAGAAACCTTAAAATATATGCAGAAGTTGTCCTGCATCCATATATAGAATGTTTGTTTTGTGTGTTTTTAAATTCATATTGATGCACAACAATATTGTTTTTTGTTTTTTTAATGTAATGTAATTTGCACTTTCTGTTGCAGTAGCACTTTGTTTTACAGTAACACTCTTAATTGTTAAATGGAATTCATGTTTGTATGTGGAGCACCTGATGGCTGATAACCTTAGAGATATGGTTCTTATTGGAAACTAACTTTTTTTACCTGATCATTATCTGGGTCACTGCCGAAAAAACTCAAAATGTAAACCGTCCATAGGAAAGCATTTCTCAATGCTCTCCTATGGACGCTCTGCACGCTGGATGTGAAAATCGCATCCAGCATTGCAGAAGCGCCTCTAGTGGCTGTCAGGAAGACAGCCAATAAGGTTGGATTAACCCTGCTATGTTGAAACTGCTATGTTTACATGTGAAGGGTTAAAACCGGAGGGACCTGGCACCCAGACCACTTCATTGAGCTGAAGTGGTCTGGGTGACTATAGTGTCCCTTTAAAGTTTTCTGTGTTTGGGATTTTTTTGTTTTTTTTGTTTTGTGTGTTTTAATAAAGTGTGAATCTAGTTGATAGCTGGCTCTGACATATATTCACCCATGTTATAATTCCGCTTTTTGGACTACACATTTAACTATTTTTAATTAACTTCGAATTCTTGACAAGTCTTTTAATATATTGCCTTGTGTGGTTTAAAAAAAAAAATAAAAAAATAAAAACCTGATGCAATTACAAGATTTTTATATTTATACTAACGTGTGTGTAAGCTTTTCAGTTGCTTCAGTTAAGCTGCATGTATTGTATTCGCAGGCCAGTTCACCTATGTTCCGAGATTATGCCATTCAGGTCTTAAAGAATGCCAAATCTATGGCTACAGCTTTGTTAAAGAAGGGTTACACGATTGTGTCTGGTAAAGTATCAATGTATAATCTGTAACAATGAATAAATTAAGCTTTAATAAGTAGAGGCGGTGTATGTAGTATCTGTCCATATAAAACTTGATCCTACTAATGTATTTTTATTTTATTTTTATTTTAAATTTAATTTTTTTTCCTTGATTTTTTTTTTTTTTTTTGATAAAGCACAGTGGGGAGGGGAATGGCAAGATGCTCAAGATTCTTTCATGGAATATAGGCTAATTAAGGCCTCAGTGTAATCGGTTTGGACTATATCCCATTGTACATTTATAATGGGAAAGCGTCCAGCTCAGTAACACACTCACTAACAATCTGTTATGTGAAATTCCAAACCCATTGTGTGAAGGGGAAAGTCCCAGACCTTGTTGCTTCTTTCTAAGAAATACCAGATTGTTGTTTCCAAATCCTCACCGCGCTATTGTGTTGGCAAGTCTAACCGGATGAATGTCTTAATTATGTAGATATTAATCCTCCGAAGGGCTGACAAAGTTCAAACATCGTCGTAAGCCCAAACGCAAAGTTGTCTTCCGTAGAATATTCCACCTGTTTCTATCACCCTGCTCTATGGCTCTTCCTGTTTTATGTTGAATTTTTACTAACTTGCTAAAAGCTATATAGAAATTTTTGTTTTTCCCCTAGTTTGAGTAATGTTAATTTGTCATGTCTCTTTACAGGAGGAACTGATAACCACCTGGTTCTGGTAGATCTAAGGCCTAAGGGCATAGATGGAGCACGAGCAGAGAGGGTGCTGGAACTTGTGTCCATAACAGCTAACAAAAACACCTGCCCTGGCGATAAAAGCGCCCTTACACCTGGTGGACTTCGACTGGGTAGGTAGAATTCCCAGAAAGAAACAGAAGTGATGAAGTCATTCTAAATATCATGTTTTGTTGTTTGTTTTGTTTTGTTTTTTGGCCTTTATTTCCCAACCTTGTTAGTTCTAGAATAGAAAGTCACATGTCTGTGTTTACCTTTAAAACCAGCGTTCTAATATTACCCCAGCATTACAAGATCTGGTGACTTTACACTGACTGGCTGTCAAAAGCTTCCAAATGGCTATTAATATGCAGTAAGCTGAAGTGGGTTTTTTTTTTTTTTTTTTTAATAATATTATAGATGTGTGGAATATAATTCTCTCCTAATCAAATATGGCATTAGGAATCTCATTGATCATGTCAAAATGTTGAACATAAACAGCACTTATTGCTTTGCATCTCCCTGCTGTCCATGCTTTCTCAGACTGTGAATTCATCAGCTGGGTAGTGGAGGCTGCTGAAGTAGGAGGCTGTGGATACCTGTATTTATTGCTGTAAACTGGGAGCTGTCAATGAAATGCCCATCACTGCATTTTTGTGTATTCCATAAACATTCTGGGATTGGGGAACTTTCCTGAGCTTGGTTTTATATTGCTTTAGGAACTCCACACTGGGTCTGTTACTGTGTAGATGGATAGGAGAAAGGTAAGGTGCAGGCTTTATGTTAAAGTAAATCGAGCTCTAGTTATTTTAATACACGCAAAGATTACAACTGAAAGTGTGAGTTAGCTGCAGTTTATGCTTAAATCCTATTATCAGCAAGCGGTAGTATAGGGAAATACCACACAGAAACAAATACTCTGCACCCACACCATGGAGCTTTTTTTTTTTTTAAATTATATTCTACATATATGTTGTGCAGAGTTCCTTGATGTTAACCAGCATTGTAAATGTCTCTTGTCTGCCAGGTGCTCCTGCTTTAACATCAAGATGTTTCAAAGAAGCAGATTTCGAAAAAGTAGTGGATTTTATTGATGAAGGAATCCAAATTGGACTCTCTGTGAAGCAAAAGACAAGTAAGTTGTGATCTTGTTTTAGATGTTTGTATCCTCATTTGTATGAAATAAAAGCATTTGCTTGTGTCCATCTGCTTTGCCTGCTTTATGATGTTTTTACACGTTATCCCAGGGAAATCTTTGCAAACTCTTGTATCAGAACTTTATAGATCATTTAAAGTGGGTCTGTCAACATCTCGGGGCTTTGTGTAATTTGCAAAATCCCCTAATGGTGACATCTCCTCTGCAAAGTGTAGTTCTTCTTACCTGAACCCTGCAAGCGCCACTATTCTCTTCTGGTGGGTCATCTAATTGCAAGAATCAATGTTACTACTGTATACCCACATGCACACTAGATTGAGGGCTATTGAGGATCCCGCAGTATCCTCTATAGACAGAGCCAATTCTTTGAAGCCGTCAGGATTGACACTTCTTGATGGCAGTAGTTCCGCCCAGTGTCAAGAAGTGTCAGGCATATGAAAAATCAAACCAGGTAGTCCCTTTTTGTCTTATGTTTTTGGTTAGAAATATAACTAAAAAAAGAGACCGAATAGAAAAGAGTAAGCGATAGGAAAAAGGTAAGCATTGCGTGACATCGCGGCTTTAAGGCTGCATTAAAAAAAATCATATTTTCTGTCTTTCCATACATTATCATGGCCAAGAGGATGCAACGATGTGCTCTGTCCTAACAGGTTTACTTTAATATGAATCCCCCCTTGAAAGCATTCAAAACAGGGTTTATTACAGAGATAATGTGTGCTGCGCTTCTGGAATACCGACCTCTGGTGTACCCGCAGTTTGCTTTCATTTTCTCCAAGCAGGGCAAACCTCCCTTGTAACACTGACAGGCTGGTTACATTGCCAGGGCCTAAACCGTGTGATGTCAGTCACTCCATTCCTATACTCCCTACCCAGTGCTAGCATTTCCAGCTAGGGAGTAACCATAGCAACCACAGTATAGCTTTTAAACCATTTTTTTTATCAAAGCCATACACGTGTAAGCAATTCTGCTAATACAATGTATACACAGAATTCTATGTGTTTTTAAAATGAGCACGAGTGATATGAACCCTTTAAGCTCTGAAGAACAAATGCTTGCATGACAACCACACAAAACACAGCTCTTTGTGAGACCCCCCAAGCAAAGTACACATTGCAATTAATGAAAAACACCCTAGCCAAGATTGGGGTGCTCCCTAATGAACACTGATTGCTTTGGTGTGGTGGGACATAGCAAACAAACACTAATCACCCCATTTAAGTAACATTCTATTGGTGATGTAAAAACTTTTAGAATTCAAGTCAAATGGGGAATAAGAACATAGTCTTATGGACCTGTGTATTGTAGGAACATGTTTAAAATAATAATGCATATAAATGAACATATTTAGTCTGGTAATGGATGCCGCAGTCTTTTATGCTCTAAGAAGCCGTCTACATCAGGGTACATTTTGAAGAGTAACTAAAATTGTAAAACGCAACATTTTCTTTCTTTTAAGACCCTTTAAAATCGCCCTCTGAAATATAAAAACGTACAATTTATTTCAAATTTACATATTAAAAGAATTTCAGTTAACATTACTTAATGATCTCTGAGCTAACTCAGATCAAAGCTCCGTAAGTTCTGTAGCAAAATAAATCAAGGCAACTGTAATGATATTCTGCATGAGACAGTTGCACCAAAAATTAAAAGGAATAGAATCTGTCTGAAAATTATGTGGGCATAAGGGGACACAATACATTACATCTTAATTTTTCATTTAATATGCAAGTCTCTGTTAGCAAGATTTAAAATACAATCCCATTTTTGTGTGAACAAACTGTTCTGTGTATATTTACAGAAGAAAATGGCCAGTATATATTTTTAATATTCTTAATTCATGATTATGCTTAAAGGGATACTCCAGGCACCCAGACCACTTCTGTCCATTGGAGTGGTCTGGGTGCCAACTCCCACTACCCTTAACCTTGCAACTGTAATTATTGCAGTTTTCATAAACTGCAATAATTACCTTGCAGGGTTAACTCCTCCTCTAGTGGCTGTCTATTAGCCACTAAAGGGCACTTCCTGCTTCATAGCACAGGTCTATAGCTACAGCATCGCTAAAATCCCCATAGGATTTCCTATGGAGAGGTCTAATGCGCCTGCCGGCTGACGTGATGAAGCGAGGAGCGTGAGCTGAGGAAGAAGCAGCAACGTGGGACATGTCACTGAAGGGGTATTTACCCCTTCAGCAACTGGGGATGGGAGGTGGGAGAGGAGACCTGCAGAGCCAGGAAAACGGATTGTTTTCCTGGCACTGGAGAGTCCCTTTAAGAAAATTTCCCTATTTTCCTGACATATGGTGGCAGTACAATAGGGATGTTCTCTTTCCTCGGGACAAGCATCTGAAATAAATAATTAACATAAAAAGTACCTCCCCTTACCAAGTATAAAGACCCAACCAGCCCAGGGACCTCAGTTCTCTTTCTTGTTCCAACAGGAACGGGCGGCATCTGGAATATGGATGGTGAGGCACATGGGTTGCTGCCAGCGGGATCCGGTCTGATAGCCTCCAGGGTGGAGAGCTGAATGGCCAGAAAACATCCTGCAGATTACGGAGCAGGTATGTAAGCCTGCTTCTATGCCGAGTGTAGTCACCGGCAAAGCAGGGAGGCGGTCTCTAGTGGCAGCAAATCAATGCCCGTTGGAGACGCATGCACACGGCGGTGGAACGCACGCCCGGGTGGTTTTACGTTCCACCGAAGTTCGGACCGCGCTATTGCGCATGCGCGGTCTAAACTCCCCGAAATGGCGCCAAATTTCAAGCGGATCTGCCTATTTATGCTGTGCAGATCTTCCTGTCAGCATGGATGCTCAGCAGTGAAGGTCTACCGTGTCACCAGCCCCCCCACACGGGTCAGAGGTTTTAGAGTTATGATTCTTTAGACTCTCATCTTTAAAACTTTTTTTTTTTTTTCTTCTACAAAATGATTTATTGCTTATGTATTACAGATATGTGTAGTCCTGTCTCTACTGATAATATGGATAAAGACAAAGTGCCTACACCTGCTTCTAAAAAAGCCAGTTCCAAAACTAAACATTTCTGTTGTAGTGAATGCTCTACTCCTTTACCAGATGGTTTTAAAAGGAAAGTCTGTAATGTTTGCTCTTCCTTGACGCTAGAAAAATCCAAGCAACAAGAGATGAAATCCTTTTTGTCTTGGTTTCAGGATAATCTGGCCCAGTCTTTTGAGTCTTTTAAAGATCCTGCTCACACTACTCCTGTAAAAGCTACTAAACAGAAGTCTAAAAGGAAGAGAACACAGTCTGGTTCAGAACTATCCTCGGGTGAATGTTCTTTTTCTTATTCAGAATCCTCTAGCAACTCTTCTATTTTGAGGTTGGATTTCCTCATGAGTTGAGAAAATTTATTAAAGAGGTTAATGTTATCCTTTCTGATGAAACATTAGATAAATACAAGGGTAAAACACTGCCAGTCCAACAAAAAATGCTGGATTTAATATTCAGAGAATGGAAGAACCCTGAAAAAAGGGCTTTTGCCTCCATACATTTTAAAAGTATTGTTAAAATAGAGGAGGAAGATAAATGGGAAGAATTGCTGGTGGTTGATGTACAAGTGGCTCAATTGTCTAAAAAAAACTACCATACCTATTGGTGAAGTTTCTGGTCTGAAAGACCCTATGAAACTTCCAGCAAAAGGGCTTATCAGGCTGCAGGTTTTCAGGCTAAAGCAGCATTAGCCGGGACTTCTGTGGTGAGAGCTCAGAATCTTTGGCTTAACACTTTGGAAGATGGTCTGGGTGATAACCAAGACACAGATCTTTCCCTCCTGTTCTAGAATTTAAGGTTGTCTAATGAGTACCTTATGGATATTGTCACAGCTTGGCTCGTGTCATGGGTTTGACATCTGTGGCCCGCAGGGCACTGTGGCTCAAAGCCTGGACAGCAGACACTGCATCAAAATCTGCCTTATGTGAACTGCCTTTGGAGAAGAAAAAGTTGTTTGGTTCTCCTTTAGAAGAGTTAATCCGACCTGTCGGAAACCAAGAAGGCCCTGCCTCAAGACAGGAAATATGCCTGGAAACCCAGGTATAGAAATTTCCAGTTCAAAAACCGTAGGGGTTTTCAAGAAAAACCCAGGTTTGTTCATCAACAAAGAAAAAATCCAAGATTTGACACACACAAAGACCCTAAGTCTGACAGAAACAAACGTTTCTGACGCCATCAGAGTGGGCGGATGGTTGCAAGGTTTTGTTCACAGATGGAGGGAGACCACTACAAATCCATGGATTCTGAACCTGGTGCAAAATGGATACCGAATAAAATTCTTAGATGTTCCAAGACCGTGGTTCCTTGTCTCCTCCTACCGGTTGAAGTTAAAAAACCAAGCTCTTTTTTTCTGCCACGGTCTCCCTATTAAGAAAAGGTGTGGTTGAAAGGATTCCAACTTCCCATGTATATCAAGGCGTATACTCCAGGTTGTTCCTAGTCCCAAAACCGGACATGTCTTTTTGTCCAATCTTGGATATAAAACCTGAACAAACTCCTTACTTACCAACATTTCAGAATGGAGACTATAGCGTCTGTCACCCATATCCTTCGAAAAGGAGAATTCATGGCATCTTTGGATCTAAAGGATGCCTACCTGCATATTCCTATGGATGTGAAATCAAGAAAATACTTGAGGTTTGCTATAAGGAAAGAGGAAAAGGTCCATCACTTCCAATTCAAAGCCCTTCCATTCGGGCTAGCTTCAGCAACCAGGATTTTTACAAAGGTACTCACACCGGTCACAGCTTTTTTTTTAAGGATGCAAGGAATCACAGTAGTACCTTACTTGGACGACTGGTTAATAAAGGCAGATTCAAGAAGCGCTCTAGAGTCAGATGTGGTCTATATGCTAGAGATCCTGGAAGAACATGGTTGGATTATCAACCTAGAAAAATCACACCTTACCCCTACGAGGTCTATCCTGTTTCTAGGGTTTTTGATCAAGTCGGAGTCTCTGTCGGTTCATCTGACGAGAAAAGAGAAAAAATATAAAGATTTTAATAAAAAAACCTTCTTCGGATGTGAGAATGTTCGGTGAGGAAAGCCATGCAGGTTTTAGGTCATCTGACCCCTACAATTCCGGCAGTAAAATGGGCCAGAGCGGAATCAAGGCCCTTACAGTGGGAAATATTTGTCCAATGGTCAAAGAAGGAAGAAGACTTGGCTGCTTTAATGAATATATCAGATCATACAAAAGAAAAGATCTCTTGGTGGCTAGGGGAAAAAAATTCATTACAGAAGGCCTGTCTTTTCGTCAAAAATCTTGGATTGTGATTTCTACAGACGCTCAAATACAGGTTGGGGAGCTCACCTCCTGTATCACTTAAGACAAGGTGTTTGGTCGAAAAAGGAAACAAAGGAATCTTCAAATTTCAGGGAGTTGTTGGCAGTTCTCTATGCTCTTCAGCAGTTCAAGGATATCATTATAGGAAAAGCTGTAAAGATCCAGTCGGATAATCAGACTATAGTCTCCTACCTAAACAAACAAGGCGGTACAAGAGTAAAAAAAAATTGTATTTCCTTTGCTCATGGATTATGTCCTGGGCTCAGTCATCTAGACGACATTTCCGCCATTCACATTCGAGGAGTAGACAACGTGGTAGCGGACGATTTTAAGCAGAACGAGTGGTCTCTCAATACAGAATTTTTCGCTCATCTGGTGAAGAGATTCGATCTGCCAGTCGTAGACCTTATGGCAAGAAGATCAAATGCAAAAGTAAGATCGTCTGCCTCCCTAATCAAGGTAGACAAGCCGCTGGTAATGGATGGTCTTTAGACCCGGTGGGAGTTTCCCCTTGCTTACATTTTTCACCCAGTGAGCCTTGTCCCAAGGATTCTGCAAAAGGTAAAATCAGATCAAGCTCGTATTCTGGCTATAATACCGTACTGGCCAAACCGCAGCTGGTTCACGGTTTTAAAGAAGATGGCTTTAAAGTACTGGATTCTCCCAGTAACACCGGATCTTCTGGAAAACAAGGGAATTCCAGTAGAAGTATTGAACATGTTCAGGTTGACGGCTTGGCTGCTGCACGGCTAATTCTGCATAATAGGGGCATTAAAGAGAGGTTTCACTTACTGTTAAATTCTACCAGAAGCTCTACTTCTTCTGTCTACTTAAAAATTTGGACGAGATTTCTTCACTGGTGCAAATCTCATCATTGCATAGGATCCTCTCCTTCTACTGATACTATCCTTCATTTTTTGCAAGATGGTGTTGCTCGAGGTTTTAGTCTGTCTACCCTCAAAGTCCAAGTTTCCACTCTGTCATTTTTTGGTAAAAAATTGGGCTTCTGATCCTCTCATTGGGAGATTTTTTATTTTTTTTTATTTTTTTTTAAAGCTGTTAGACTCGTAAAGCAAAGAAAATCTGTTTTACCTCTTGGGATTTGTCTTTAGTTTTGAAATCTCTGTGTACTGAGCCTTTCGAACCTTTTGAAGAAGCTTCATTGAAGAATCTGTCTCTGAAAACAGTGTTTTTGGTGGCCATTACTTCGGCTAGGGGATAGGGGAACTCCAGGTCCTTTCTTCCTCTCCTGCCTTTACAAAACTTCTTCCGGATCAAGTGGTTATGTACCCTAAGACTTCCTTTCTTCCGAAAGTCATCTCCTCCAAGGTTATAAACCAACCTATTTTTCTTCCTTCCTTTAATGGTCCATCTATGCCAGATTGGAAATTTGATTGGAGCCAACTAGATGTGGGTAGGTCTCTGAAAATGTACTTGGACCGTTCCTCTACGTATAGGATGACTGATCATCTATTTGTGAATTTCTTTGGAAAATTTAAAGGCCAAGTTGCCTCCAAGGCCACTTTAGCTAGATGGCTGGTGGATACTATTAAATTGGCTTATTCTTCCTCGTATCTACCTCTGCCTGCCTCCTTGAAAGCACTTTCTACTAGAGCCATGGCTGCCTCTTGGGCCGAAAAAGCATGTGCCTCTCTGGAAGATATATGCAAGACGGCTACCTGGTCTTCTTTCAACACTTTTGTCAAACATTACAGGCTAGACGTGTTCTCTGACTCTGATTTTGGGCACAAGGTGTTACCAGCTGTTATTGCCTAACTTCCCACCCTTAGTATGGGATCTCGATATATCCCTATTGTACTGCCACCATATGTCAGGAAAAACTGGAGTTTTACTGACTGTAAATTCCTTTTTCCTTAATATGGTGGCAGTACATCACTCCCTCCCTTTATGTATATATATTATATTTGGGTGTTCTATGGATTCACTGAGGTGTTCTTGGTACGTACTGAGGTCCCTGGGCTTGTTGGGTCTCTTATACCTGGTAAGGGGAGGTACTTTTTATGTTATTTATTTCAGATGTTTGTCCCAAGGGGAAGAGTACATCCCTATTGTACTGCCACCATATTAAGGAAAAAGGAATTGAAGGTGAGTAAAATTACAATTTTTGGGAGGTAAGAGAGAATTACAAATTTAAGGCCTAAATATCTTAAATTGGGGGGGAAATGTGTTGAATCATCTGATTTTGTCAATTTTAGCCCAGTATAAAACAATCTTGTCAGTTCTCCAAATTTCCAGTTTTACTGATCTAGCCTCACATGCTTCAAAACCAAGCTCTATTTACCTTTTACAATTTACACTATTTAAAATGTGGATATTTTAAAACCCAAACTATTGGTAGTTTTAATAAATTAACTGTAATTTCCAGCAATCTCAAAAGCACTTTACTCTGTCAGAGGATTGATGGTTTTCCATGTGTTTATGTATCAGCGTAAGATCTAGAGAGCCTAAATATGCACAAGTAGTATTTTTAGACAAGTGAAGATTGTTACTGTAATGTTTGTTTTGTTTAATTTAGACAAGCTTCAAGATTTTAAGAACTTTCTTCTCGAGGACCAACAAACTGTAAAACAAATCGCAGACTTACGACAAAGAGTGGAAAAGTTTGCCAGGGCCTTCCCTATGCCAGGATTTGAGGAACGCTAGATGGAAGAGATGGTGGAAAGAAAGTTGAAACAAACAATTTTGCTTGAATATGCATTTTTTGTACAGCCTAGTTAATTTTAGTTTTCTTTTTTTTGCCCCATAACTTCTTCTATTTTCTGCACTTTTCAGTTTGTGACCAACTCCCTTCCACTATAGGATTCCTAGCCAATTGTACCATACAAGAACCATTATAGAACTGATTGAGTGAACAAGCTATGACGGTGATCTCCATGGTCTTGTCTAGTGACTGTCAATAAAAGCAATAAAACAGTCTGGTTTTTTTTTCCCTTTTTTTTTTTCCTTTTTTCTTTTTTTTTTCTTAAATTGCATTAATTGGTGCCATACCATATATAGTGCAGTTCTATTTTACCAGTTTACCATTGTCAAACGTTGATTCTCTATGGTTTGCTTTTTCAATGTTAAAGGGATACTCTGGGCACCAATACAATGTTCATGCATTTAATAATTATATGCTATGTATTTATTTTTATTTATATTTTTTTTGTATGCTCAAGTCTTTACTACTTTAAACTAAAAAAAGTAATTGTCTCCTTAGTCAGTGCCCCTCATGCCACAAAGACATTGAATGCATGCATGTAGTTGCTTTTAATAACAACCTGCAGACAGTCAGATAAACTACAAACGGGTAGTGATATCCTTACTGTAAATCTCCATGGTTGTACTGTCATTCTAGTGCAGTTTGTTTTGTTGTTCAAATCATAGTGCTGGCAGTGGCTGAGCAGTGTGCATATTTTTGACAAGGAAGTCTATTTCTGGATTGAGGGATGTGGCTATGGAGGCAGTCTTGTGGTGTAGCATTCAGCAAAAACTAAAGATTTGAGCATGTATAAAATACTGCATGTTAAAGGGACCCTCCAGACCCTTAAATCACGTCCGCTTGCTGAAGTGCTTTATGTGTGAAGGGTGTGCCCTTGTTACGCCACCCTGGCTGTCAGTCCGTCAACTGGTCCTGTTACTTCCTGGTTTGGTTAACTTACTGGAACTATTTATTTATTAATTTATTTATAAAATATTTTACCAGGAAAGATACATTGAGATTTCTCTCGTTTTCAAGTATGTCCTGGGTCCACAAATCATTGCATTGTTACATTAGGGTACAATAAAATACAAAAACAATATAAATACAAAATTTTAACATAGAACAGGTAGGAAATATATAATCAGCCATGACAGGTGCATTCTGTTTTGAGGTATGTAGAGAGGGATCTCTTAAAGGACTTTGGGCTTGGGGAAGATTTTAAAGTGTGCGGGAGGTCATTCCACAATTGCAGCGCTCTGTAAGAGGAGGAGGAGGATTGGGCTGCTTTCTTTTTGTATTGAGGTAGACTAAAGTGCTTGTATTGGATCGGAGGTTATAGGAAGTGGGGAAAGCATTTTGTTCAGGTAGGGTGGGAGTTTCCCAGAAAAGCTCTTAAACACAAGGCTGGGAAGATGAAGGGTGCGTCTGGATTCCAGCGACAGACAGTTTAGTTATTTTAGCATGTCACAATGGTGAGTCCTGTAATTACATTGTAGCACAAATCGGCAGAACGAGTTATACAATGTGCTGAGTTTATTAATGTGGGATTGCGATGCAGATGCATATACTACATCCCCATAATAATTTTGCTATGCAATCTTTTCCTTTACTGTAGGGCTTAGGCAGGATTTGTTTCTGTACAGGGCACCTAGTTTTTGATAAAGTTTAGATGCAAACTAAACTTGAGGTAACAATTGCCCAGAGCACCTGCCTTGCAAACACTTCTCATTGAACTGCATTGGGAAGCCTGTGATTGGACAGCTGCAAAATGTGTGGGCTGGGAAGAAGGGGAGGACAAGCAAAGTCCTCAGGAAAGAGATATGCAACTTTTGCAACCGGTTCTTAGATGTGCCTCTAATTTTTTTTTTTTTTTATGCATTATATTAACCCCTTAAGGACCAAACTTCTGGAATAAAAGGGAATCATGACATGTCACACATGCCATGTGTCCTTAAGGGGTTAAAGCTCTGATTTGGGGGTATATCTACGAAATAGTAACTTTTAAAAATTATTTATTTGGGAAGTACAGTGTCCCATTTAATGAGACCAAAACTTATCAAATTAAATTTCTATTTGTCATTGAAGTGTGCCTTTAAAGCAATACTGGTTACACTCCGGTTTAATTACATATCTTTAGACATGCAGAATGAAATGCAACAAAGGTCTTTTTAATATTCTCTATTCTATCAAAAGTTATACCCAACTAACCAGACAAAGAAAACACAGCTGACTTATGTTACATGATGTGGACCTAGAATTGATCAATGAGACTGATTGTTTTGAGCGCTAATCACATGCTGTGGCACAGCATGGAACCAATATACAATATACTCCTATTTCCTTGCATTAGCGCTAATAATAGGACTCTTATTCATCTGTGTTTGTCATCAAGTTCACTGTATTTTTTTTTTTCTATTTTATAACTCCGTAAACTAAACTTAGTTGACGTAGTGTAGACCTCTATATTTATCAAACAGTATAAAATTAGAAAGCATGTTCAACCAAGCCTTTAGTAAGATGACTGTGTGTGAAGGCCACAGTAAGTAGGAAATCATAAGACAAGTAACCAAATGTGGTATCTGCATACGATCAATTCAGAACTGAACTGGTAAAAGCGGGAAAGGTGCTCAACACAAAATATTGAGTTAATAAAAATTAAAAATTGTCTCAATGTGGTTTGAAAATGAGTGATAGGTTTGTTGGAAAGGTCTGGTGTATATAATTGCAAGTAAATAAAACATTTGTCTCCCAAACAAAGAAAGAAGTGTTTAGAATGGACTAAAAAACATAATTGGTCTAAAGAACAAATGGGATGGAATTGTTGGAGTGATGAGACCCGAATATCAATATTTGGTAGTGATACAATAAATTATTCAAAATGAAAATTTTAATTTTTTTTTTTTTTAAATATATTCTCTATCTCAGATTGTATGACTGTAAAAGGTGTGGCCAGATTTTGTGATTTGATAGGTACTTCAAATGGTAAAAAAAAAAAAAATATCGATTTAAAACTGAAGCCTTCAGCATTCCTTGACATGTTGCTGCTGTATGACAAAAGTGGCATTCATACAATCTTGATTTCACATTATAACACCTGATGAATTAAAACTCTTCACGGGATTCCATTGTAAGGCTGTAACTGCATCAAAAGGTTTATCGACTAGGACAAACAGGCTGAAAAGTATGCTTTACCATGGTTTTCCTTCCCTTTACCACGGTTTTCTGTGTTGCACTTCTTTTAAAATGCAAATCTTTTAATAAAGTGTATTATACTAAATGATTTTTCTAATTAAATAGCAATTTGATTATCTTTAATAAAGTTGAGCCATCAAACATCAGAAATACAAATTTTCCAAAAGGATTCCACAATTTGTGCCAGTAGTGTATATTTGTACTTTTAAGTATATTGATAATATGCATGAGGAGTCCATGCTCAATGAACCCATTGATCCAAACGCTTGTTTACATAATCACTTAAAGATTATATTAACCCCTTAAGGACCAAACTTCTAGAATAAAAGGGAATCATGACATGTCACACATGTCATGTGTCCTTAAGGGGTTAAGTCTGGGGTTGATCAATGTTTAATGCTTTATATAAATAATGCATTAATTATACAAATGTAACAAATTAAACATTTTTAAAATTTAAATTTCATGCAGTTTAGCTGACTGAGCACAAACTTGACTTCATTAACTTTCTGTATAGCACTGCTAAGTACAGTCATTGATGAGCAATGTTTTAAATGCACATCAATGGATTTGAGTAGTTGTAGTTCAATCACGAGCTTCTTGCATGGGGTTTGCTATCTGTGAGTTGTACTGCTGAATCCAAGTCCAGTGTCATGCACTAAAGTATATATGGGGGAGATTGTGTGGTTTTTTTTTTCTGGTTTGGGATAATTTTCCAAAATTAAATGAGACCATGTATTTTATACTTGTTTTGTAGCCTTTTATGTGGTTATATTACCAATTTCTGCTAAAATATATTGACTTTCTTTTTGCTGCCATATTTTTAAAGGCCTTTAAAACGATAAAGTTTCTATATTCTATGTCAGTGTATTCCTGATCCATAATGTGTTCAGCTACATTCCCTGGGTACTTTTGCCTAATATACATGGCATTCTTAATTTTATTTTTTAATTATTTTTGTCTTTATAACAAATATTTCTATTTTTGTTAATGCATGGTACACCATAGAAATATATGGAAAAATTCCACCGTTCCAAAAGTTAATACTATGAGAGATGACTTAGTGCAGATAATCAACATTGACATTAATTGCCCCCAGGAGCATATACATTACAAATAGTAATGTGGTCGGCACTGTATACAGTTAGTGCATTCAATACATAGTGTAAAACATAATCAACAAAAATAAACAAAACAATCACAGAACTAAGAATACTACAGATGGCTAAAATAAAAATAACATACCCTGGTTTGCCTTTCTCTCTTGCTAAAACAACAGTGAAGCAGTTTGTAGCAGCATGTACATGTCAAGATGGACTGGTGAACCCTCTTTTATTTACAATCCTTTATAAAATTGAATATACATTGCCCACCAAAAGTCTGCAGGTTGTCCCCAACCTTGGAGCCCATATCTTTATAAAACATGGACATCAAATTATTTGGCAAATAAGCCATAAACTCCATCTGACAATAGGTATAAATCATATCTTTAATGTGTCACATAGGAAATAAAATCAGTTTTTGGCTACGACGGACTTAAAGGCTAAGAAAAAGAAAGGTTAGTTTCTGGGTAGTATGAGGAATACCATCTGGGGGGAAAAAATACTTAAAAGAGAGACTTCATGCTGGCAATATATGCAACATATAATCTAGTAGCAAGTTAAAAACCACTTTTGGAGATTTAGGGGCTGATTTCATTAGCCTGACTAAGGAAACCTCTATGGCTTTTTGGGGGGGGTGGGGGGGAGGGAATGTCACAGTGCAAGGATTTTTGCAGCCATAGGCAAAAGGGGAAAAAAAAAGACCATTAGTGGTCTTTCCCCTCTCTGCCCCATCCACCCCAGCTGTTTTCTCCTACCTCACCTCTGGTGCTCTCTCCCTCCCAAGGTGGTTTCTCCTTCCCCTCCCCCTCCCCTGGTGGTCTCTCCTCTCTCTCCAACTTTTCCCCGGTGGTCTCTCCTTCCCTCTCTGTCTCCTCCCCCCAGGTGGTCTCTCCTTTCCTCTCCCCCCGTCCCCAGGTGGTCTCTCCTGTCCCTCTCTTTCTTCCCTCCTCCCCCAGGTGGTCCTCCTACCTCTCGCTAGGGTAGCGTGGCCGAGCTCCGCAGTACAGAAGCTTCTGTTACCTGTACCCAGACGGACTGAAAGGAAGTTTCCTGCCTAAGTCGCCTATAGGAAGCGCCAGCCCTGCCTGCAGATATTTGTAAAAATGTTGTTGAGGATCCCGTATTTAATTTGGCTGTTAGCAAAATATTCTACATGGCCTTGTTTCAGTAGGTGGTCTATGCACTGCAACCTTCCAACTTGCTAACTGATTATTTGGTGAATATCGGGCCACATTCACCATTGAAGCTAGAACTGGAAGTTTACTTTGAAGATATCATCAGATCTTATAACTGTGTTTAGTAGTGGGAGGATCATTGTTCAGTTGTTGCTTTTGGGACATTAGATTTAATATAACGAGTCTGCCAGACACGGTCTATGTAACATTGCCAAGGAAATATTTCCACTTGTGAGCATGTTATATTTGTTAAGTATTGTATAGCAAGCAGAGATTGGCATCAAAATGGGAGGGGAATGGTCCTAAATATGTGTAGAAATGTAATCCGTGCCATCAACTTTATTGACACTACTTTATTCCCCACACCCCATGACTCCTCTCCTGCAACTGTCAAAAAATGACCTACTAAGCCCTACTTCGTACCCCTACTTTTACCCTTTGTGTCACTATACCCCACTCCCTCTAAAATGTAAGCTCTTTAAGCAGGGCCCTCCACCTCTCTGTTCCTGTACGTCCAGTTGTCTGGTTACAATTACATGTCTGTTAGTCCACCCATTGTACAGCGCTACGAAATCTGATGGCACTATATAAATAATAAAATAATAATAATAAAAGAAAGGGAGGGACCAGCATAATTAATGATGCAAAATATATTTATTAAATAATAAGCAAATAATTTCAACGAGAGGAATGGACAGCTTGAAAAATGTTATGTCCAAACTGCTCTATATCATGGCAGATCTAACATCTAAGTTGTAATGTCTGATGAACGTATTCAGAGAGGACCAAGTGTCAGCTTTACAAATCGAGTCTGAAGAAGTATTTGCCACAGCAGCCCATAATGCCGCCACAGCACGTGTGGAATGTGCCCTTATACCCTTAGTTACTGGTAGGGATTGTAATTGATATGCCTTTGAAATAGCTGCTATCACCCACTGCTGAAATAGGGTGGTAGAAGCAGCTTCATCCCTTCTGTGATCCACAGGTAATATGAAGAGTCTGGGGAACTTCCTGAATGAACTTGTTCTCTCTATATAAGCAGAGAGAGCTCTCACAACGTAGAGCGTATGCCACATCTCTTCCTCAGGTGATGCAGGAGACGGATAAAATGAAGGCAAATTGATATCCTGGTTAAGGTGGAACTTAGAAACCACCTTATGCAAGAACTCCGGTAAAGGTCAGAGAACCACTTTATCCTGTTGGAAGCTCGTAAATGGTGGATCACAGGACAAAGCCTGGAGTTCACACATCCTCCTAGCTGAGTAGACTGCTATTAGCAACAGTACTTTCTGTGTAAGCAGCATTAGTGAAGCGTGAACCAGAGGCTGAAATGGTGGCTTGGTTAAAGCTTGTAACACCTATAGGAGATCCCATGTCGGCATGAAAACGTTCAGTGGAGGTCGCATTTTGATGAACCTGATTACCAAAGGGTCTAGTGCCCAATGAATACCCGTCAATGCTGATAATGCAGAAAAGTGGACTTTTAGGGTGTTGTAACTTAGACCCTTTTCAAGTCCTGACTGGAGAAAGCTACGAATTGTAGCTATCAGTGGAGGTCAGATGTCCAACTCCTGCTCCAAGAACCAATTAACAAACACCTGCCATATCTTGTAATATAATGAAGAGGTGGAATATTTACAAGATTGTAATAAGGTCTTGATAACAGAGCTTGTTATACCATTGGTTATAAGAGACTCCTGCTCAATCTCCATGCCATCAAACCCAGAGCTTGAGGGTCTGGGTGGAACAGGGGACCTTGAACAATAATGTCTGGTCAGACTGATAGATTCCTTGGATGCTCCAGACTCATCTAATTCTCCATAGAAAACCAAGGTCTTCTTGGCCAAAATGGGAGGATTGCTATAGCCTCCATTCTTTCTCTCCGGATTTTCCTCAGGAATGAATAAATCAGCAGTATGGAAGGAAAAATGTACGTCAAGCTGAACCTCCATTCTTGGGTCGAGGAATCCTGACCTAGAAATCGTGGGTTGAAGTGTCTGGTGAAATAATGTTGCAATCAGGTCTATCTGAGGTACTCCCCATAGCAGTGTTAGTTCCAGGAAGACTTCTTGGCATAACTGCCATTCAAATATGTCCAAAATTACACGGCCGAGGAAGTCCGCAACTAAATTCTGAATCCCTGGAAGATGGACTGCGGAAAGACCTTGGACATATATTTCCCTTATCAGGAGGTGGCTGTGGGTGCCACCTTGATGATTAACCTTGATGAAGGCCACTGCTGCCTTGTTGTCTGATCAAATACGGATCCACTTGTGAGATAAGATTCTCCTGAATTTCTGGAGAGCTTTAAAAATGGCTCTTACTTCTAAAATGTTGCTTGGTAGTATAGACTCTTTCTTGGACCAATGGCCCTGAGCTACCTGGTCTAGGCAATGTGTACCCCGTCCTTGTGCACTGGAATCTTGTGTCAGTATTACTCCAAAGAAATCCAAGCTGGGGATTATACTACTTATGCCTGATTCATTGAGCAGTCCAACTGCTCAATTAAATGTGAGTAACCATTTTGATATTTATACTTCTATTATCTTTTTATACAGTGAGCACTATTTGTTCTCTCTTTTTTAACCCTTTTATGGTCTACACGCTGCTGTGATATTCACACCTCTTCACGTATCCTATAAGTGGTGATTGTACCGCTGTATGCCATCCATACTAGAGCTGGTTTTTTGCTCTACCACATGTGACTAGGACTGCATTAGTCCCTGTGTTTTAGAATACCAACTTTTATAGGACTTATAGC